CAACAGAGACACCAAAAACCCAACATCTGTGCTATATCAATGTGCTATACCATAGCAACAAATTTTGGCACCGATGAAGATTTCTGACACAATATCAAGCTAGCAAAAGCGCTGCCTTCACCAGTTACATGTTCTACAAGTCAAAAGGGACACAACATCCGTGCTACATCAATGCGCTGAGTTGAGTTGATTCACGAACCGACATTACAGCACTCTGGGCATCCCCCATCTTCAGCAGCCAGAGCAGAGTTCCAATACTAATGGTGCCATTAGCATTTTGATTAAACGTCCGTCTTGCCTTTCCTTTATCCTCAAGCATCGGCCAGAACCCCTCGTCACTCCCCACTGCATCAATCTCACCAGACTGTGGTGATCCATCTGCTCCTTCAAACTGTACACGCTCTCCCATAAGACCCCAACCCCATCTGCCTGATCATGCATCAATACTCCACCAAGTAGTGCAGAGCCAGTCAGTATGTCCACCTGTTCATTTCCCAACACACCCACCAGCGTTTCCTGGAAAAAATGCCACTCTGCATGAAGCATGCCTTCCTGACCTTCCCCAGCCTGCTTTCTGAGTCAGTTTCAATCACAATGTGTGTGTGTCATGTTCTCTAACCAATCAATGTGCTGTATCATAGCAATAACCTTTAACACTGATGAAGAAATAACCTTTAACACTGACGAAGAAATAACCTTTAACACTGATAAAGAAATAACCTTTAACACTGATAAAGAAATAACCTTCAACACTGATTAAGACCTCTAGCACAGTATCAATGTAGCACAGGAGTGCTATTTATCAAACACACTAAAACCCAACATCTGTGCTATATCTGGAAATAACCTTTAACACTGACAAAGAAATAACCTTTAACACTGATGAAGAAATAACCTTTAACACAGACGAAGAAATAACCTTTAACACTGATAAAGAAATAACCTTTAACACTGATAAAGAAATAACCTTCAACACTGATTAAGACCTCTAGCACAGTATCAATGTAGCACAGGAGTGCTATTTATCAAACACACTAAAACCCAACATCTGTGCTATATCTGGAAATAACCTTTAACACTGACAAAGAAATAACCTTTAACACTGATGAAGAAATAACCTTTAACACTGATTGAGACTTCCAGCATAGTGTCAAGCTAACACAGGACCCTAACACTTCCTTCATGAGTCCATGTTTGTAATCCAACAGAGACATCAAAACCCATCATAGGTCTTTTATCTTTGTGCTATATCTGGCAGTAGCCTTTCAAAATGACAAAAAACTTCTAGCATGGATATGGTTCTCAACCTGCCAGTCGTGATCCTTTTTTGGGGTCGATTGACCCTTTCACAGAGGCAGCCAAGACTATCAGAAAACTCCATTGAAGTTATAAAGAAAATTAATTGCTTAGGGGTCGCCACAACATGAGGGAACTGTATTAAAGGGTTGCGGCATTAGGAAGTTTGAGAACCCCTGCAGTATGGTATCAAGCTAATATAAGACTTCCTTCCAAATTCATATGCAGTAAGTTAACAGAGACATCAAAACCCAACAATCGTGCTTTAATCTTGAACACTGGCATGGTATCAAGCTAGCACAGACCCCAGTACTTCCTTCATGAGTCCACCAAAACCCAGCATTGTGATATAATCATTAACAATGATGATGACTTCTAGCATGGTATCAAGCTAGACAGATCCCCAATACAACCTTCATGAGTCCATGTTCTATCAGTCAACAGGCATCAAAACCCAACATTGTGCTATAATCATTAACATTGATGACAACTTCTAGCATGATATCAAGCTAGCACAGGTCCCCAATACAACCTTCATGAGTCCATATTCTATCAGTTAACAGGCATCAAAACCCAACATTGTGCTATAATCATTAACATTGATGATGACTTCTAGCATGGTATCAAGCTAGCACAGGTCCCCAATACAACCTTCATGAGTCCATGTTCTATCAGTTAACAGACATCAAAACCCAGCATCATGCTATAATCATTAACATTGATGATGACTTCTAGCATGGTATCAAGCTAGCACAGGTCCCCAATACAACCTTCATGAGTCCATGTTCTATCAGTTAACAGGCATCAAAACCCAACATTGTGCTATAATCATTAACATTGATGATGACTTCTAGCATGATATCAAGCTAGCACAGGTCCCCAATACAACCTTCATGAGTCCATGTTCTATCAGTCAACAGACACTAAAACCCAAAATAATTCTATAATCATTAACAATGATGAAGAGTTCTAGCATGGTATCAAGCTAGCACAGGTCCCCAATACAACCTTCATGAGTCCATGTTCTATCAGTTAACAGACATCAAAACCCAGCATCATGCTATAATCATTAACATTGATGACGACTTCTAGCATGGTATCAAGCTAGACAGATCCCCAATACAACCTTCATGAGTCCATATTCTATCAGTTAACAGGCATCAAAACCCAACATTGTGCTATAATCATTAACATTGATGACGACTTCTAGCATGATATCAAGCTAGCACAGGTCCCCAATACAACCTTCATGAGTCCATATTCTATCAGTTAACAGACATCAAAACCCAACATCATGCTATAATCATTAACAATGATGAAGAGTTCTAGCATGGTATCAAGCTAGCCCAGGACCCCAATACTTCCTTCATGAATTCATGTGCTGTAAGTTAACAGAGACATCAAAACCCAACATTTACGCAACATCATAGCAATCACTTTCAACACCATCAACTCATTTCTTGCTGAGCTTCCTCAATAATCAGGGTTGGCAGATCATCATCATCATCACTATCATCAGCAGTAGCAGTACTGATATCTTTATTGACAACATCTGATTTCTCAGTTGTTCTATTATCACTCGCCTTAGACGAAATTACATTAAGATTGTCTTTTTCAACATCTCCTCTGGATGTTGAATCTTGAATGCTGCTATCATAAGATGGCTTCGGACTTTCCAAAGGGCTCTGTTTAACTGCAGGTAAAACTGTCTGAGCCTTTTCCTTTTCTTGAAGACCCAACCTCTTCCTTCTTTGGGGCTTCTTATGTTTTGAAATTGAATCACAAATTGGTGAGAAAGCCTGTGAATTATCACATAAGCGCAAGTCTTTTTCTTGCCGTTTTACAGCTACGAATGAAGTTTTAGCTGACAAATGTGTCTCCTTTTCTTTCACTTCATATTCACTTTGACCTTCTACCTTCAAAGGCATAGATTTGACTTTTCTTCGAGAAGGTTCTAGTTTTACTTTTTCATCTACAAAATGTCTACTATTTTTGGAATCAAATTCTGAACTACTTGTCTGCAAGCCTGCCTGTTCCTTATTTAACACAGCACTAGCTCGCTCCTTTACACAAGCTGAAGGTGACTTTGTTATTCTTTTCTTAGATTTTTTCGAAGCAGAACTAGAGGTATCTGCTTGTAATCTGGCAGCCATGTCTTTTGATATCACATCAGAACAAACGCTGGAATAATTACTGACTTCATTTTCACCGCTTTCTTTTTTACAGTCTAAAGTATTCTCCATGGAAGCTGGATTGACTGAAACAGTTGGAGATATAATTCTTGAAGAAGTTAAACAAATATTTTCTTCTGCATTTTCACCTTCCAAAGATGTCATTTCCAAAGTCTCGGCATCAGATTCTTTATTTTCTTGAGAAGGGAGTAATGTAGCTGGGAGAGTCGGCACAACTGATGTTGACATTACCAGCTGTTTTACAACTTTAACATGCTGCACGCTTCCAGAAAATATGCCCACAGTTTTATACATCTTATCAATATGCCTTTCAGAAGGATGGGATTCAGACGAAACTTTCAGAGCCTCAGCTTCCTCTGTGTCACCCTCAAGATCATTTGTTTGTTCTTCTGACAATCCTGACATTCCATCTGCAGTGCTCGATAAAACTGACAAACTATTTTCTGATTTTTTGGCATCCAGAAATTTTTTCAGTTTTTCATCTGTTTCTGAGTTTATCTTGCCCAGCCCGGTGTCTGCAGGAGGATTAAAACCTGGCAATGACTTATGGCTTTTCCTACCTCGTTTCTTTTGAAATTCTTTTGCCGTTGCTTCTCTGGGCAGACGCTTGTCTACTCGATCTATTTTTGAGGGTGCGACAGACAGCACAGCTCCACTAAATCCAATAATTTTCTCCTGTCCTGCATCAGGACCCCTAGAAGACAAGGAAAGACTTTGTGATGCTGATAAACTGTTGACTTCTTTGGGTTTACTTCTGCTGAGGTCAATAACATGCCCCTGATGAAGAAAGACTGGACTAGTTGATGTCGTGGGTGAGAGCAATGGACTGGACACTGAAGCAGTTGCATATGAAGTTGGTTTCCCCATGGCGACCACAGGAGGTGGGTTTTTAGCCGAAGCAATGGCGTGCTTCTTTTGTGCCGAGTCACTGTTTTCCGCAGCTAACTCCAAAACTGTAGGGACTGAAGACTGACTACCGGAAAGTGATGCTGCAGCTGATACCGGCTGAGACAAGTTAGCCTGACTCTGAATTCGTATCTGATTTTGCTGAGTCAAATAATCTCTAACAACGAATGCCGTCTTCTGAGAAACATTTGTGAGCTGGGAAGAATCAGAGCCTGTATCAACTAGCAGTCTTTGCTCTGGCTGTTTAACAGGTTTCATTTGAGGGATATTTCCCTCACTGCGTGTCCTTAGTGAAGTGGCAGCTGGGGTATGGGCAAAGTGACCTGATGTATCTGTGATAGGAACCTGAGCCTGCCCAATCTGCACAGGAAACATATCGAACTGATTAGAGTGCTCACTGCCAACCTTTTCATTGTTGGCATCCTCAGACCTTCTTTGAACATCAATGGCAATCATTTTACCTAATGATCCCAGTTGGGCAGGATTCACTGATCTCATCTGAGCAGGATTTGTTGATCCTAGGTGTGCAGGATTCACTTTCATGGTCACGCTGGAGTCCCCCTCCAATGAAGACCGTGATGAGAATAGAGGGTGCGCTGCATTTGCAGAAACTTCAGCCTGCACTTGGGATGAAATGGCACTTCTGCCATCACTGGCATCCTGTCTGCCAGATGTGGACAAGTTTAGAGGAGACTCCAAAGCTTTACTATCATCACTCTCCAAAGGAGCTCCATTTTGTGTGAGGTGTCTGTGGTTATTCCCAAACACCGCCACAAGCTGATGCTGGTATAGAGGTATCTGCTGATTAAAGGTGTTTGGGGACCCGTTGCGTTCTGTAGCTTGCCCACGGTTGCCCGCAGAACTCCCTTCAGAAATCTGGACGCCTGCCTGGCTGTAGAACAGTGTTCCCTGTGTCTGGAAGGGAGATGGGACAGATCGTGATGTTGTTAGAGGCGAGGTTATTGGAGATGCCCGCTTCAGAGGTGCTGATGATAGGGTGGTTGAATGAAGAGGGCTAATGCTGGAAGTTGTGGCAACTTCATTAGATGGATCAATGTTGTATTTTTTCAGAAGCATCTGAAACAGCCTAGCTTGCATGTTAGTCAAAGTCACTGTGTCATTTGAAGATGTGAGATGGGATAAAGATGAGGCTGCAGACAATGAAGACGAAATGACAGACGAGGCATTTGAAACTGGCTTTGAAAGACTGGTAGATGCTGACTGGGCAGTATTTGGTAATGAGGCCGAGCTAGGGATGATTGAAGCCCCAACTTGGCCAAAAGAAGGGACCACATGCAGAAGAACAGACTTCTGGTCATAACGTTGTCCCCCCGCCTCGGAATTTTTAAACACATTTGAGTTGATGACCGGCAACTGTAACTTTCCCCTGGTTGTAAACAAAGATCCACTGAGTCCAGTCATTACCACCTTTCTCTGTCTGCCGCACTGTCCAGCTCTCCTGTCTTCTTCAGTTTTACTGAAAATGCTTTCAGGAAGTGACATCAGGCCACTTCGCCCATAAGCCTCATCATCTTTATCTTCCGTAACTTCCATCTTCACTTCAGGTGACGACGGCTCTGACATAGACTTTGTCTTGTTCTGTCAAATTATAAAGATCATTTTAATTTAATCAACAAAATGAAACAAAGCTATCTGGCAATCATATGCACTGCATTTTCCTAAGTATAAGATGCATTTATTAAAAAAAATATAAGGTCTAAAAACAGTGCACGTCTTAAACAATAATAGTAGATTTTTATCAAATCATTTTGTAGAGAAAATTTCCTATATAGGGTCACATATAAAAATGTCAGCAGAGGAGCGACAGAAAATGGAAAAAAAAAACGACACAAAATATAAGTTCTTTCCCACTGTAATACTTTTTGTGCTTGTCTTTGAGTTCATTGTTTTGCACTTGTTACTTAAAGTCAGGACCAGATTTGGAAAAAAATGAGCACCTAGTTAAAGTCAGGACTGAATATAGACACGATGAGGCCCTAGTTGAAGTCAGGACTGAATATAGACACGATGAGGCCCTAGTTAAAGTCAGGATTGGATTTAGACAGGATGAGGCCCTAGTTGAAGTCAGGATTGGATTTAGACACGATGAGGCCCTAGTTAAAGTCAGGATTGGATTTAGACACGATAAGGCCCTAGTTAAAGTCAGGGTTGGATTTAGACACGATGAGGCCCTAGTTAAAGTCAGGACTGAATATAGACACGATGAGGCCCTAGTTAAAGTCAGGACTGAATATAGACACGATGAGGCCCTAGTTAAAGTCAGGACTGGATTTAGACACGATGAGGCCCTAGTTAAAGTCAGGACTGGATTTAGACACGATGAGGCCCTGGTTAAAGTCAGGACTGAATATAGACACGATGAGGCCCTAGTTAAAGTCAGGACTGAATATAGACACGATGAGGCCCTAGTTAAAGTCAGGACTGGATTTAGACATGATGAGGCCCTAGTTAAAGTCAGGGCTGAATTTAGACATGATGAGGCTCTAGTTAAAGTCAGGACTGGATTTAGACATGATGAGGCCCTAGTTAAAGTCAGGACTGAATTTAGACACGATGAGGCCCTAGTTAAAGTCAGGATTGAATTTAGACACGATGAGGCCCTAGTTAAAGTCAGGACTGGATTTAGACACGATGAGGCCCTAGTTAAAGTCAGGACTGAATATAGACACGATGAGGCCCTAGTTAAAGTCAGGACTGGATTTAGACATGATGAGGCCCTAGTTAAAGTCAGGATTGGATTTAGACACGATGAGGCCCTAGTTAAAGTCAGGACTGAATTTAGACACGATGAGGCCCTAGTTAAAGTCAGGACTGAATATAGACACGATGAGGCCCTAGTTAAAGCCAGGACTGGATTTAGACACGATGAGGCCCTAGTTAAAGTCAGGACTTAATATAGACACGATGAGGCCCTAGTTAAAGTCAGGACTGGATTTAGACACGATGAGATCCTAGTTAAAGTCAGGACTGAATATAGACAGGATGAGGCCCTAGTTAAAGTCAGGATTGGATTTAGACACGATGAGGCCCTAGTTGAAGTCAGGATTGGATTTAGACACGATGAGGCCCTAGTTAAAGTCAGGATTGGATTTAGACACGATGAAGCCCTAGTTAAAGTCAGGACTGGATTTAGACATGATGAGGCCTTAGCTAAAGTCAGGACTGTATATAGACATGATGAGGCCCTAGCTAAAGTCAGGACTGAATATAGACATGATGAGGCCCTAGCTAAAGTCAGGACTGGATTTAGACATGATGAGGCCCTAGTTAAAGTCAGGACTGGATTAAGACATGATGAGGCCCTAGTTAAAGTCAGGACTGAATTTAGACACGATGAGGCTATAGTAAAAGTCAGGACTGGATTTAGACACGATGAGGCCTTAGTTAAAGTTAGTTGCATATCCTTTACAGGATGTTGCAGAACCAACCCCAGCTTTGCATTTAGTTATCGTGGTTTTTCTAGGCAAATTTATGTGCAGTGGTTTGCCAGTGCTCTTCTTCTTCTTCTTCTTCTTCGTGTTCACCAGCTGTAAACTCCGGCGGAAAGTTCTGGTTGTTTGTCCACTTCTGGACTGCAGTCGTTTCAGAACCTTAATGATGCATGAGCAACCATTTTACAAATCTGACTTATCTGTATGCACACAGCTGGTTCCTTGCCTCTCAAGCGGATGCACTCCGACTCTAAAGAAAGCTCTCAGTTAATCAACTCTCACAACATACTTTTATGAAGGCAGTGAGTCTGTTCTTGTTTTCCCTATAATAGGGCCCTGGAACCCATGGTTTTGAACACCGGATCAACATTATGGCATAAGGTGTAACCCATAAGTGCTCCATTCTTCTTCTAACTAAAGTCTGAGTCCGAAGAAGCTCAGCACAGTGCTCAGACTCTGTAGCACCAGCGAGGATCCTGAAAAACTTTTTGGGTAGATTTTAAACTCCAAATTTTGCCTGGGCAGTGCTGTTAGGCTACTCTTGTCAATTTCCAACTGCCAAGGGATTTTGTTACGTGTGCAACAATGCACTACCCAAAAAGCCTGTCGTAAGAGTTGACTAATTGGGAGCTTCCTTCGAAGTCAGAGTACATGTGCCTGAGAGGCAAGGAACCAGCAGTCTGCACACAAATGAGTGAGACCTGTGAAACACGCAACACTCAGGTTCTGGAACAGGACTAGAGTCCAGAAGAGTGGTGTCCCATCTCACTACTCAGAGACCAGGGGGAATTACCAGAAGTCCAAGTCTATGTGAAAAAATCCCAGCCCTTACCCGGGATAGAAACCAGAACCTCTAGCACTCGAGGCAGACACCATGCCTCAAGACCACGCAGCCCCTTGTTTTTTTTGGGGGACCAAAATGCTAGAAATGTGTATATAACCCATTTAGCACTTGATGAAGTGATATGGTCATCAACATCATGTTTGCTGTCTTCATTTTCCACAATATTTGTTTGCAAACATATTTGAATGATGCAGACAAGCAAACAGAATATGGTAATTAAAAAAAAAAATTTAAACAAAGACACACACAAATCACGTCACAGATTTAAACAAAGACAAACAAATTAACTAACAAACATAAAAATAAACAAAAAATCACATGAAACCAAACTGAAAATAAGGACATTTGTGTGAAAGTTCCTGGGGTCTATTGTCTGTGTGTGTGTGTGCGTGTGTCGGGGGTGGGGGGGGGGGATGGGATAGACCCAGTGCCCTCTAACAAGCACTGGAGTGAGGGAGAGCGGCAAATACAAAGAGAAAGAGAGAGAGGAAAGCAGTGACAGACAGGCAGAGAGTGAGGAACAGGTAGGACAAAAATGTGAGGGGGCGGGAAGGGAGATGGACAGAGATTAAGGCCGCTAGGAAAACAAACACATCAAAAGAAAATATCCACCATGTTCACACAGAATGCCCCCCCCCCCCCCCAATACAACTTCCTGTGTACTTGAGTTGCTAGGAAGAGTTATGGAGCTGCACATTTACTAAACATTTAAACAAGAAATAAAATAGGAAAAAGGGGGAGGGGGGACAGGAAATGAGAGAGTAAAAGAAAAGATAGAGAGAAAGAGAAGAAGATGAAGATCAGAAGGGAGGGTTAGAGACAATGCAGGAGACGGGAAGGAAGGAGCAATAGGTAGAAGAGTGAAAGAGGGAGGGAAGAGAGAGAGAGGTGAGAAGAGGGAATCTCGGGGAATTACAATACTGATCGCCAAATACACTGTAAAGATAAATCCAGGCCAAAAATAGAACTGGGAAATCCAGCTGCAGTCACTTTGCTTAGCCCCAATGCCATCTCTAATTAATAGAGAAGGCCGTGCTTAGCTCCCACCACGGCGACTCTATTTATAAATACAACTGAACCGAGCCCCACCATCTCCCAATGTAATCCTTTCTAGAAACCACGGCCAAACTTGCTTGAAACAAAAGCACACACACACGCCAGACGGAATCTGCTACTTCCCGCCCCATGCCACACCGCTGCTGTCTGCGTGTATTCATGATCTGCAACACAGCCCGCCCTCCCCTGGCCTTTAACAAGCCATTTCGGCTGAAAATAGCCAATAATCAGCTGCCCTCACACCTGAAACGACCATACAACGAAAGTAGCCAAAAACTAGCCAAATGGCTCCCCCATAATTGCCTGTGCTGAAAAACACAGGATTTCTGACGATTTCATTGCCGCGGTCAAAATTCACGGCTTTTCAAGGTCGGAATTCTTTTATAAGCTAAAAATCACGGTTCAAGATCAACGAAAAAAATCCCGGTAATTTCCCGATTTCCCGGTCCACTACGAACCCTGAAGCAGGTTGTAAGAGTCAACTAATTAAGGATGTACCCTAGGAAGTCAAGTGCATCACATTTTTCATCAGACTGTGCAGCAGGTGAAAGCAAAAAAAACAAAAAAAAGACGAAACAAAGACAAAATAAATCACAGTAAAGAAGTTTAAAAAATGTTTGTGGGAAAAAGTCAGTGAACCAAAAATTAAAAAGATGGTAACAACACTTACAAAAAGTTACAGTAAATGAAATTTAACACAAAAATAGAAGAAAAAGGTCACACAAAAAGAAAAAAGACAGCAAACTTGAAGAAAAAAAAAAAAAAACAACAACAACACCCAGACCAAACAGCCACAGTAAACAGATACAAATCCAACAGAAAATTACATTATAAACAGAAGATTAATAAGGATACAAAAATCACTTTATACGAAAAAGAAAAAAACAAAACAAAAACCTTAACACACTATGGATGGCAAGACAAGAGACGTATACCTGTGATAGAACAAACACATTTTTGAAGACTTTGGTTTCATTCGATGGCACCTCCAGTGTCTCCACGCTGATCTTTGGTTCTATCAGGCAAGTCAACTCCGGGCCAGTGTGTTTGGACAAACTGATACTCCTGGCAATGCTTTGGCGTGAAAAGGCCAGATTTTCAGAGGAAGGGAGGCCAAGGTAAAGTGGACTTGGTTTTGACTGTAAAAATGTAAAAAAAAAACAAAAAAAACAACCAAGATTTTAATAATGCTGCAACGGTTTCTTCTTCTTGGCTGACTAAGACTAACTCTGACTACATTCCTATTA